TTGGCGGCGGAATCCTTGAGGTAAGCCTGCAAAAGACGGATCCAAAGTTCAGCAACCGGATCTCCCAAAAAGTTGACAGCTTGTGGTGGTTCAGGTGGAAGTGTGGGCCGGACAGCGTCTCCTCGTTGTTCTGCTGTCTGTGCATCCCATGTGTAGTATAGCCTGCTCTGCGGTGCCTTTATCTGTCAGATAATTGGACTGCAATGATTCATTATGTTTTGCTAACTCGTCTTCCTTTTCAGTTAACAAGGATAAGCAAGTATCGTGTGCTGCTCCACCGGTTTTGGACATGATAACATGGAACTTGTCGGTTGTTGTTAATCTGTCAAAGCCGGCTTGCATTTTATGTGTGGCTTCCCATGCTGCGTAAGTGGAACGCAGATTGTCCAAAGTCACAGAGGATTTGGTCTCTCCTGTGAATTTTTGACTAAACGAGTCAAGCTCTTTCAGTGCCATTGTTACAGTGGCAACTGAATGCGAATCTGCGGAATCAACACTTTCTGATGTATCAGTGTCTTGAGTGGTCGCAGAAGTCTCACCTCTCACTGTGCGATGTTGTCGGTGGGACCACTGGACAAAGGGTTGCCGCGGCCCTTCGTTCCTGTAAGAGGAGCGCTGGGCGTAAGGGTTCTGAAGGTCTCTGCGGAGATGATATCCCACGTCAGACTCCAGATTGGACATGGATAACAGTTGTTATTTGGATATCCACTCAGTGTCCTTTGTTGGACAATGTATTGTGTGTTCTTATGAGTTTGGTTGTCCAAACTTGTTGAATCCTACTGCAGAGTCTTATTGATTCTGCCAATAGGTACTACGTTTCAGTGCTGTCTTTCCTTTGACCTTCCAACTTACGTTGGAGGGGATGATTTGGATTGACAGTGCTGTCACCTATTCTAAGGTAGACTACAGTATAACTACAAGGGTCTTATCTACTCCGAACACAGGGGGTGGGTACTCTCCCCCTGGGCTTGCCAGCTGCGAATGTTTCTTAGAGATTCCCTCCTTAAAACAGACGCCTAGTGTGCTAACTGGACTCTATCACTAGCTGTTACACAAAGGCTTTGAACAAATTCAAAGCTTCAATGTCCAGACAAACCTGTCAGTGGGTTAAGACACTGTCCAGGGGCAAACCAAAAATCCTTGTTCAGTGGGGTGATGTCCACGTGACACAAGAGAGCGACACTTGGCTGTGCAGCCAATGTCTCTGGTCCAATTGTTGTACCTGCGCACTCGACAAAAGGCAGCCAGATGCAGTAAAGAAAAGATTCTCAGTCCAACTAATTGTAGATTCGGTTAATTTGGGATTAATCCCACCAGTCAATCAACAGTCTTTAGTAACTGAAACAACAGAAAGGCAACACCTTTCTGGCTTTCCGGATTACCTTATCCCTGGGTGAGGGGCTCGTAGTAGTTGTTGGACTTCCAAACCAGGTGCCGGGATGGCCTTGGCTGGAATGGCTGCGGGTACGGCTGACGATACTGCAGGTACTGCGGGTACTTGGGGAAAAGCTGTGGCGGGCGGTATGGGGCCGGCTGGTAGCGGCCCTTGTACGTCTGGTGATCCGGCCGCTTGGGGAAGGGTTGGTTCTGGTACACAGGGCCCTGATGCAACCTTG